GCTGGGGTGTCGAGGGATTTTGGGGATGGAAATAGTAGGGGTGGTGGTAGAAGTGGTGGTAGGGGTGGTGGTAGGGGTGGTGTTGGTGGTGGTGAGGGAGGGGGGAGGTGAGGAATGTCTGGGGAAGGACGTGGTGATAGGTGAGGGAGGAGGCAGGCAGGTATGTGTGAAGCGACAGGGGCACACCAGATATTTGGGGTCCTGTTGTGAAGAAAGGGAAAATGTAGTAATAGTAGTAGTAATAGTTGTAGTGGAAGTAATAGTAGTAGTAATAGTAGTAGTAATAGTAATATTGGTAATAATAATAATAATAGGGTAGCTACTTATGTATTAGGATATTTAATTTTAAGGTAATAAAATGGCGGCGAAGGTGTGGCTATTAGGGGAGGCTGGAGGCCACGTTTAAAAAATAATAGTAGTGATTGTAATAGTGGTAGTAATTGTAGTAGTTATGGTAATACCAATGCTTGTACGGCTCATCTTATGTTATCGACCACGCACTGGTGTGCAAGAAAGAGGGCTTCGTAAGCATGAGGCACGACGAAGTAAGGGATCTAACAGCAAATCTACTGAGGGAAATCTGCCACGGCGTCATGGTGGAACCGCCCCTCCTTCCATTGGACGGTGAGAATCTCCGCCACAGGACTTCAAAAACATCCAACGAAGCCCGTGTGGACGTCAGTGTTCGAGGATTCTGGACGGGGAACAGCGAGCCTTTTTGACATAAGGATTTTTTATCCATGGCCGCATGTCACTGCAACCTAGCTCTCGATGCTGCACACAAGAGGAACAGAACGACAAGATTAGGGCACATGGGAGAAATTCAGAATGTGGATCAAGGCAGCTTCCTCTCCTGGTGTTCACAACCTCTGGCGGGATGGGACCAAGTGCAAGATGCTTCTACGCCAGACTCATGAGGTGTTATCGAACAGACAGCAGCCCAGAAATTTATGTTACAGCCTGGATGAGATGTCGACTGTCCTTCTCTCTGCTTACAGTAGGTTTGCATTGCTTTGCCTCAGGGGAACGAGAGCATCGGCCCAAAGCCAATAACAGTTGCAGATATTGACTATGAGGCAACAGTCACTGAATGCCGCATAGATCTGCGGCTCAACTAACTCAACACAGCCAGGGTAGCTACTTATGTATTAGGATAGTTAATTTAAAGGTAATAAAATGGCGACGAAGGTTAAAAATTAATAAAAAGAATATCAATGGTAGTAGTGATAATATTTTGTGGCACAGAGAGTGGATGACATTTTCTAGTTAAGCAGATTCCTTTGAAATATTTTTCTTCCTTCACCAGGTGGTATGGTGTGTGGGGCAGACAAGAGGAGGTGTGGCAGTGGTCATTGTGTGGCCAGGCAGCTGTGGTGTGACTGGCTACCACACTGTACTGATGCTTCCGACAGGAAACAGTGGTGAGCTGTAGTGCAATAATAATAATAATAATAAACAGTTTATTAATAGAGTTGCAGCCGGTGGCTGAAAATATACAGACTTACATTTGATTTAGACATAATGATATAATATGCATTGAATACATTTACAGGGCTGTACAGTACATAAATCAGGAGTTGTTTAATATTTTAGCAATAGATGGGATGGCGCTGTTGTTATATCTATCGGTGCGGGCTCTTATGGGCTGAATTTTGTTGTAGTGGCGGACTGAGCGAGTTGGGTGGGGGCTGCAGGTGGCGATGACGAGGGTGGTGCATTAGTCCACTGCCAAACCTTTCCAGTGCTTGGTGGTGGAGGTCACTGAGGGATGGCATTTCCAGGGTGGAGAGAGCGTTGGTAGCCGAGTATTCTGCGCCGAGCATGATTCTGCAGGCCCTTTTCTGTACCTTCTCTAGCTGACATTGTTGGGTGGAGTTGAGAGAACAACCAGGCTGGTGACGCATACGTTAGTTTGGGGAGAATAAAGGCGTTGTAGATGGTCCTCAGCTCTGGCATGGGTGTCCCATGACCTAAGTCGTCGTAGCATATAGAGACAGTACAAGGGTGCCTTGACTGTGTTATTTACATGGGCCTTCCAGTCAAGTTTGTTGTCTATAGTTACACCCAGGAGTTTGGCAGACTGCACCAGCTGGAGAGGATGGGCACCCTGTGACTGCTGGGGCTTGCACTGGAGTGGTGGCGGTAATGTGCATGACTACGGTTTTGGTGTGGTTGATGGTGACCTTGTTCTCCGTAGTCCATGCCTGTAGCCTGTCCAGGGTGCCTTGTAGCGATGAGTAGTCTGGTGCGGTGTTGTCCACTGAAATCCCCACAGTGCAGTCATCCACGTACTTCCACCTGTGAGGAGTGTCCGATAGAGTATCGTTGATCAGGATGAGGAAGCACAGTGGTCCCATCTTGGTCCCTGGGAACACTGCTGGTGAGGTGTTGGAATGTGGAGACCATGCCCTGATACCTCACTGCCTGGCAACGTCCACTCAAGAAATCAGTGAGCCATGAGACCAGGTTGGTGGGCAGCCCTAGTGCAATAGCCTTGTTGATAACAGTGCAGTGATCAACAAGGTCAAAACGCCTTCCTGAAGTCCACAAGGGCAACGGCCAGTGATGTCTTACGTTTCTGCAAGTTTTGTGCAGAAATCAGAAAGCTCACCAAGCAGTGTGTTGGGGAGGTCCTCATATTGCCAAATTGCTGTGGATCAATTGACTGATAGATACTGGCAAATGCCCACTCAAAAATAAAGTCCTCACAAAGTAGACTGGGTATGGGGTAATGGCAACTGGCCTGAGGTCGTTAGGGGACTGTGGGGTGGTGACCTTGGGGATGGGGGTGACAAATGCTGTTTTCCATTCATTAGGGCATTTGCTTTGTCTGAGGGATGCATTAATAATAGAACAGGGGTGGCAAGTTCGACTGCAAACTCCTTGTATATTTTGATTGGGAGGTCAATTGGGGTCGTGGAGCGTTTGGATTTAAATTTCAGGAGTTTGTTGGTGATTTCATATGGTTGAATACTGGGGGAGGAGGGAAGGTAAGTAGCTGGGAGGAGAGTGAGGTCAAGACTGGGTAGGTATGACATATGGTAGCAAAATGGTTATTAATTATCTCAGCTGCCTCCTCACCAGGTAAATGTGAGATGAAAGGAAGTGTGGGAGACTGACGGTTGAGACCACAGAGATCTTTTACCTAGGAGTACCACTTGCCGATGCCGACTTCCTTAAGGCCGTGCACTTTCCTGGGATAATAAGTCTTCTTGGCAGACTTGATTTCCCTGATGACCTGGTTATGTAGACTTTTGTACAGGCGGTTGTTGGTGTAGTATTCCTTGTGTGTGTGTGTGACCATATATTTTTTTAATCATCTCGTCCAACAATTTTCGCCGGAAAGGGTTAAATCATAGTCGTCATAGGATTAAACCATAGTCGTCAACGGATTAAACCATAGTCGTCAAAGGATTAAATCATCATCGTCAAAGGATTAAATCATCATGGTCAAAGGGTTAAATCATCATGGTCAAAGGGTTAAATCATCATCGTCAAAGGGTTAAGGCGGGAATTTAATACATTTTGATACCCTCCTTTTCCTTGCTGGTTGAAAAATGAATATTAATTTGTAAACGTTCCCAGGTACAATATATGTCTTTTACAATTACATGAATTTAATTTAATCACGCCAGCAGAACAACATGTTTTGATATGTTCTGTTCCTTGTGTATTAAGTATTGAGTTTTTTCTTTAGTTATGCAGTAGATTCTGACATATTTATTTGTGAGGTATTATAGTTCGTTTTTTAAGGTGTATTATAAAATTTATTGATCACGTGAAGATTAGGCATTCCTAGCATATCGCAGTTGATAATTTGTCACCCTAACGCTACTCGGGTTAGGATAGGTTAGGGTAGGGTAGGTAACGTTTGGTTGGGTTAAGTTAGGTTAGGTAAGGTAAGTTCAGGTCATGTCAAGTTAGGTTAAGTTAAATTGATCTACCTACAGATGCAACGAGTAAATGCGGAGTGGGGGAGTTCAGGTTAGGTTAGTTCAAGTTAGGTTAGGTGAAGTTTGGTTAGGTGAAGTTTGGTTAAGTTCAAGTTTGGTTAAGTTCAAGTTTGGTTAAGTAGAAGTTAGGTTAGGTTAAGTTAGGTTCAAGTTAGGTTTGTTCAGGTCAGGTTAGGTTCAAGTTATGTTAATTTAGGTTAAGTTTGGTTAGGTTAGGTTAAATTAAGGTAAACTGATCCACCTACAGATACAGCGAGTGAGTGCGGAGTGGGAGAGCTCAGGTGTGCCAATGGTCAGTGTATCCCTCAGCAGTTCTGGTGTGACGCCTCGGCTGGGTCAACACTGGCTTGTGCTGATTCTTCTCACCTCTTTAACTGCTGTGAGTACTAATTGTTTATACCTGTTTACTACTTTGCTACCTTTTTTTTTAGTTTCCTCTTTTTATTTTATTTATTTATTAATTTTTTTTTTCAACTTTGTTACTTTTTTCCTGATTTCTGCATCGTTTTGGTTATTTTTCTTTCTTTTTGATTACTACTTTGTTACTTTTTTGTAATTTCCGCTTTTATTTATTTATTTTTATATTATCTTTTTTATTTCTACTTTGTTACTTTTTTTAGTGTCCGCTTTTGCATTTTTTATTTATTATTTTCATTTATGCTTTGTTACCTTTTTCTTGAGTTCTTCTTTGTTTTGCTCATTTCTTCTTTCTTTTGATTTATGCATTGTTACTTTTCTGTTTCTGCTTTGTTACTTCTTGTTATGTATTTCTCTTTACTAATCGTATTTATATTTCTGTGTATTGTGTTTTATATGGTATAACAGCTAATATTGTATTATATATTCTAAGGTATTGTCGGAATCTCTCTCTCTCTCTCTCTCTCTCTCTCTCTCTCTTTTCCATTTTTCTTTTCGTTTCTTTTATTTCTCTCTTACACACACACACACACCATTAGCCATCTGTCTTACCTCTTTCCTCCTATCCAGCCCAGCAGACGTGGGACGGGGCTGTTCCAATGTGGGTCAGGGCCCTGCCTCCCCCATTCCATGCTGTGTGACGGAGAGGTCCAGTGTCCTCTTACCTGGGACGACGAGGACAACTGTCGTAAGTCAGATGTGTGCCTCCTGAAGGTGAGGTACTGTATATAGGAGGTCAGTGATTACTTCTGAAGGTGTGGGGGGTGGATGAGTGTGTGTGTGTGTGTGTGTCAGTCAGCCCTGGGAGGATGGAGCTGGTTTATCGTGGTTTTAAAAGACATCACTTCCACTCCCTTCTGGCCAAGTGGTCGCCAGTGTGCGTGAAACTGCCGGTCCCTGGATTGACTTCCAACCTACTGGGGTATGAAAGCTGTTTATTATCGAAGCCAAGAGCACTTACCTGACCCCCCTCCAGCATGGTAGGAAAAAAGTTTGTGTGAAGGGAATATAATTATGCAGTGTGTGTGAGAGAGAGAGAGATAGAGAATATCATAGGACACTCGTCCGTTTTAAGATTGAAGTAAAATCATTGTTTTTGTGTTGCAGCGTTCTCATGCTCGGCGACCGCCCCTTACTGTGAGTGCCAGGACATAAGCATCAGCTGCCTTCACCGTGGTATGACCTCTCTGCCCAATGATATAGAGCCTCAAATCTCCCGCTTGTAAGTAACACATTCATCCTTTATGTCTCCATTACTACCTTCTTTTAACTTTTTCCGACAGCTGACAATTTGAAAACTTAATAGACTATGACATAAAGTCTACTCGATTTTGAGCTGTCACAAAAACTACCCAAGAGAGGTGTTTTCTCCACTATCATAAAGGGTAAATGTTATCGTGTTTAGCGGTGACAAACCGAGGCTATTGATTCTGATTGTGTATATTTTTTGTTTGTTTGTTTAGAATCGAAGGATATTGTTTTTGATCATAACTAAGAGATAATACAGCACTTCTACTCGCTATGACTCACTGGAAATAGATGATTTTTTATCCAACGTCTGACTAGTGACTTGGCTCCCCAGTCTAACCTAATCATTTGCATTTGAGTCCAGTGGTGATGTAGTGCCCGAGTTCTAGTGGGACCCAGACCAACGACGTCCCTATTATAATAATCCCTATTCCAAAGGCACCCCAATCCTAATGGCCCCAAATTATTAAATGGTTATGGTTGGGTTAGGTTCAGTTAATGCCCATTCAATCTACAATCAGGTAAACCAGTTAGATGCATTTTCTCTCTCCACTAAAGCTGATAAATTATAGTTGCGAACTTTACTGAACCATAGTTACGAACTTTACTGAACCATAGTTAACAACTTTACTGAATCATAATTACGAACTTTACTGAATCATATTAACTCTGAATCATAGTTACGAACTTTACTGAATCATAGTTACGAACTTTACTGAATCATAGTTACGAACTTTACTGAATCATAATTACGAACTTTACTGAATCATAGTTACGAACTTTACTGAATTCGAATTTTAGCTCAACGTTTGCCTTCAAGATCACACCACATGTTAAGGGATTAATCTTAGGGGAGGGAGGGTGGTGTTATTGGTATAGCCTGTGTAATGGGTGGCCGAGGCGTGTTTGTGTGTGGGTGTGTGAGGCAGATAGTGTCTGGTGATTAATGGGCTTCAGATTATTTTGAGAGGAGTGTGGATGAGAGGTGCCGGATGATTATTGAGAAGAATGGATTATATGGATGAGTTAGTGAGAGTGTATGTGTGGGGAGAGGGTGAGACAGTGATGTATGTGGGGGGAATAAAGACACAAGAGACAAAGGGTTAAGAAGGAGAAAATGATAGAGATGAAAGAATAAATATATATTGATGGAGATAAAGAGAAAAGAGAGATACTGATAATGAATGAGAGGTATGAGATGAGACAGGTGAAGAGAGAGAGAGAGAGAGAGACTACAACTCTCCTGCATCATTGAGAAGGTTAAGTTAGGTTAGTTTAGATTAGGTTAAGGTAGGTTAGGTGTTGGTGCGTTTCTCCGTGTGTGTGTGTATCTGTGTTTGTATGTAGTTGTATGTATGTATACGTGTTCAGGCAACAAACAGGACACAAAACACTAATGAACCTCCCCCATTCTCTCTTGGTAAAGGATTTCAATAGCATCAAATGACACAAAAGTTTCTTATTTAATATTTTTTTTGCTACACGTGAACAGAATCCAGGGCATTGAAATGGGTTCACACATACATGAATTAATTGTATACATGTGATTATATATAGTTCTTTGTATTAGAATAAAGTTTGGACTTTTTTGTAAGCATTATGCTCATCCCTGGTGTGTGTGTGTGTGTCAGTCAGATGAAAGGTATATGCAGTATATGTATATGTGTCACGTTGCTGAGAAATGAGGGTATTTAAAACTAAAGACTTTTATATCCGAGAAGAAACGTGTTCAGTTTAATTGTACTCATTATTATTATTATTATTATTATTATTATTATTATTATTATTATTATTATTATTGTTGTTATTGTTGTTGTTGTTGTTGTTATTATTATTTATTTATTGTTATTATTATTATTATTGTTGTTGTTGTTGTTGTTGTTGTTGTTATTATTGTTATTGTTATTATTATTGTTGTTGTTGTTGTTGTTGTTGTTGTTGTTGTTGTTGTTGTTGTTGTTGTTGTTGTTGTTGTTGTTGTTGTTGTTGTTGTTGTTGTTGTTGTTGTTGTTGTTGTTGTTGTTGTTGTTGTTGTTTGTTGTTGTTGTTGTTGTTGTTGTTGTTGTTGTTGTTGTTGTTGTTGTTGTTGTTGTTGTTGTTGTTGTTGTTGTTGTTTATTTGTTGTTGTTGTTGTTGTTGTTGTTGTTGTTGTTGTTGTTGTTGTTGTTGTTGTTGTTGTTGTTGTTGTTGTTGTTGTTGTTGTTGTTGTTGTTGTTGTTGTTGTTGTTGTTGTTGTTGTTGTTGTTGTTGTTGTTGTTGTTGTTGTTGTTGTTGTTGTTGTTGTTGTTGTTGTTGTTGTTGTTGTTGTTGTTGTTGTTGTTGTTGTTGTTGTTGTTGTTGTTGTTGTTGTTGTTGTTGTTGTTGTTGTTGTTGTTGTTGTTGTTGTTGTTGTTGTTGTTGTTGTTGTTGTTGTTGTTGTTGTTGTTGTTGTTGTTGTTGTTGTTGTTGTTGTTGTTGTTGTTGTTGTTGTTGTTGTTGTTGTTGTTGTTGTTGTTGTTGTTGTTGTTGTTGTTGTTGTTGTTGTTGTTGTTGTTGTTGTTGTTGTTGTTGTTGTTGTTGTTGTTGTTGTTGTTGTTGTTGTTGTTGTTGTTGTTGTTGTTGTTGTTGTTTGTTGTTGTTGTTGTTGTTGTTGTTGTTGTTGTTGTTGTTGTTGTTGTTTTTTGTTGTTGTTGTTGTTGTTGTTGTTGTTGTTGTTGTTGTTGTTGTTGTTGTTGTTGTTGTTGTTTGTTGTTGTTGTTGTTGTTGTTGTTGTTGTTGTTGTTGTTGTTGTTGTTGTTGTTGTTGTTGTTGTTGTTGTTGTTGTTGTTGTTGTTGTTGTTGTTGTTGTTGTTGTTGTTGTTGTTGTTGTTGTTTCATGATACTTTTAACTGATGAATAATTAAAAATTTTCCTATTACAGAATACATACTGTTTCATACTGGTATACTTTTGGTTCTCATCATACTGTACTAGTACTTTGACTTTTTTCATTACTCTGTATTTTATTCGTTATATAATACTTTGGTAGCATCATTATACCGTATTTGTTTCATTATATTAATGTTACACTGTTTATTATTAATTGGTGTTGTATTCTGTTTGATTCTCATTGGCTTAAGAGTAGGTTGAGCTAGTGGTAGGTTGGGTTAGGTCAGGTCAGGTTGGGTTAGGTCAGGTCAAGTTGGGTTAGGTCGGGTCAGGTTGGGTTAGGTCGGGTCAAGTTGGGTTAGGTCGGGTCAAGTTGGGTTAGGTCGGGGCAAGTTGGGTTAGGTCGGGTCAAGTTGGGTTAGGTCGGGTCAAGTTGGGTTAGGTCAGGTCAAGTTGGGTTAGGTCAGTATTGATGCTTTTTGTATTATATTTAACCACATCTTCCTCATGACCGTGTGTGGTTGTGTTATGTCTTCCAGCCACCTGGCGGGGAACTACCTGAACCACACCCTGAACGCCAGTACCTTCCTCCCTTACCGTCATATCGTCTTCCTGTGAGTATTAGTGTCGTGTTAGTTGTGGCAGTGACTGTGTTATAGTGTTGTGGTGGCGTTACCTTACCTTACCTTACCCTACCTTACCTTACCTTGTCTTACATACCTTACCTTACCTTACCTTACTTGCCTTGCCTTGCCTAACCTTACCTTACCCTTACCCTTACCTTACCTTGCCTTACCTTACTTTTACCTTGTCTACCATAACCTTACCTTACCTTACCTTACCTTGCCTTACCTTACTTTACCTTGTCTACCATAACCTTACCTTACCTTACCTTACCTTACCTTACCTTGCCTTGCCTTACCTTACGCGCCTTACCTTACGCACCTTGCCCCTTGCCTTACCTTACCTTACCGCACGCCACCTTACTTTACCTTGTCTACCATAACCATACCTTACCTTACCTTACCTTACCTTCTACCTTACCTTGTCTACCATAACCTTACCTTACTTTACCTTGTCTACCATAACCTTACCTTACCTTACATTACTTTACCTTACCTTACTTTACCTTACTTTACCTTGTCTGCCATAACCTTACCTTACTTTACCTTGTCTACCATAACCTTACCTTACCTTACATTACTTCCTTACCTTACTTTACCTTACTTTACCTTGTCTGCCATAACCTTACCTTACTTTACCTTGTCTACCATAACCTTACCTTACCTTACATTACTTTACCTTACCTTACTTTACCTTACTACCTTGTCTGCCATAACCTTACCTACTTTACCTTGTCTATAACCTTGCTTACCTTACATTACTTTACCTTACCTTACTACCTTACTTTACCTTGTCTGCCATAACCTTACCTTACTTTACCTTGTACCATAACCTTACCTTACCTTACATTACTTTACCTTACCTTACTTTACCTTACTTTACCTTGTCTGCCATAACCTTACCTTACTTTACCTTGTCTACCATAACCTTACCTTACTTTACCTTGTCTACCATAACCTTGCCTTGCCTTACCTTACCTTACCTTATGTACCACAACCTTACCTTACCTAACCTTACCTTACCTTACCTTACCTTACCTTACATATGTACCACAACCTTACCTACCATAACCTTACCTTACCTTACCTTACCTTACCTTACCTTACATTACCTTACCTTACCTTACCTTCTGCACCATCAAGATACAATATGTGTGTGCAAATGTAATCAATTGTGGAGTTTGAATGTTTGGTCGGCCATTTCCCTCGGTGTCCATACTCTCTCTCTCTCTCTCTCTCTCTCATTAAGCTCTCGTCACTAACGCAGCTTCGCTTTATAGGTCGTATTTATTTATTTATTTATTTATTTATTTATTTATTTATACAGTATAATTTTTTGGCTTGGTTTTTTACGTTTTTAATTCAGCGGAAAAATTTATTCCTTGCTCGTGGTGTTTTGTGAACGAGGCAATTAACCCTTATTGTGCTAACTTTAACCCTTATTGTACTAACTTTAACCCCTATTGTACTAACTTTAACCCTTATTGTGCTAACTTTAACCCTTATTGTACTAACTTTAACCCCTATTGTACTACTTTAACCCTTATTGTGCTAACTTTAACCTTATTGTGCTAACTTTAACCCTTATTGTGCTAACTTTAACCCTTATTGTGCTAACTTTAACCCCTATTGTACTAACTTTAACCCTTATTGTGCTAACTTTAACCCTTATTGTGCTAACTTTAACCCCTATTGTACTAACTTTAACCCTTATTGTACTAACTTTAACCCTTATTGTGCTAACTTTAACCCTTATTGTGCTAACTTTAACCCTTTTTGTGCTAACTTTAACCCTTTTTGTACTTAGTATGTAAAGTGAATCCTTATTTCACTTACTTAAAAAATAGAAATAAATAAATCCTTTATAAATCTTCTGGAAAATCTATTCCTGGACAACATTTTCTTCACATTAATTTAGTCTTGTGTATAAGTTTACGTTCATGAGTTTATTTTAATTCGGAATTTTATCTCGGTGACAAACTCTCCTCACATTACTTCACGTCAGAATTCTCTTCATTTAACTTTATATTCTCATTATTAGGCCCGCGTTTCAAACTTTTATTTGTCTATGTTGATTCACACTAAACTTCTCCTCTGAAAGTCATTCGACGTGGGAGACGTGGGAGGAATTTAATGATGTATTTATTTTTTTTAGTTAAATGTGTATCCCAACATTTCCTTCCATCTCTCTGTTTCTCTCTCTACCTCACAGGGATTTAAGCAACAACAGCCTGTCGACTTTACCTGCTGGGATGTTCCTGCACCTGAGTCGACTTAGAATACTCGACCTACGAGATAATTTCCTCAGCGGTGTAGCCAACTCGACCTTCCTGGGGCTGACAAATCTTAAGGCGCTGTAAGTTGGTTGTATCCTTCCCTGTGTTGGTTAGGTTAGGTTAGGTGTGTTTCACTGTTGGTTACTTAGAACACTTTATAGTTGTTTTATTTTACTGTCCACGTGAGTCTCCTTCCTCCTTCCTTCCTTCCTTCCTTCCTTCCTTCCTTCCTTCCTTCCTTCCTTCCTTCCTTCCTTCCTTCCTTCCTTCTCTCTTTCTTATCCCACTAGACCCTCTGATCATTTCCCTCCTCCTCTCTTGGCCATCCTCCTACCTATCCCACCTACCCATCCTTTTATCCACATCTTGCCCTTCTACCTGGCCGTATTTCATCCAGAGCATCTCCCCCTCCTCTTCCTCCTCCTCCTCCTCCCCTCCTCCTCCTCCTCCTCTGCCTCCTCCTTCCCTAACCTCATTTTCCTGTCAGCGTTGTCAGTGGGGTGAGGTGAGGTTCCTTGAGCTGTCTGTGTGTTGGTGTCTCCTAGGTTTATTGGCGCTGTCCACACATACACAGCGTCAGGTTATGGTGAGTCAATCTCTTCGGTGCAGATGATGATGAGCTGTTCTTTTGGTGTATTGATTTGCTCTCTCTCTCTCTTTCTCTCTCTGTGCAATGAAACTTATTGTGTATTACATCTTGTTAATTTTACCACTAACCTAACCTAAGCTAAGTCTATCCTATGTACTAAATGCCTTTTGGAAGTAGAAATCTACTGAGGCATGTTTCTCATTCCAAGTAGCATTATATTCTCACTCAGTTCGTCATTGGGAAATCAGTGAATGGTGTTGGGAGCCAAAAACCATGTGTGGGAACCCTGAGTTTAATTAAGCACAGATAATGAAAGAAAACATATCTTTATGGGGAGGTCTGATGAATTTGATAATAAGCACTGTGACTCCTGTTGTCTCGGTAGGGTCGTCAAAGTCCTTCGTCCGTTGTGTCATATTGTCTGATACAAAATGGTGTAGATACTAACTTTTATTGATTGCATGTATGTACAGTATATTCACTTTGCATCAAAATTAAGGTAATTTTTTTTTAATATTTGATGGTTTAATTATGTTTCAGTGTTAAGTGAGTGTTTTTTATGGTGTAAATATGATGCTCTACCTTGATTTTATTTTCCTGTCAACCATTTATGTTAGTTTAGGTTAGGTTATGTTAGGTAAAGGGTGGGTTAGGTTAAGTTGGAGCCTGTTAGGTAAGGTTTGGTTAGGTTACTTGACTCAGTTCACGTCGCATTATGTTAGGCTAAGCCAGATTGGGTCAGGTCAGATTAGGTTAGGTCACTTCAGATTGATGTCAGGTTAGGTTAGATTAAATTAATTTTTACACCCTAATATACGAGCAACATTCACCTCACGAACCTTTTGAGAGAGTGTGTGTGGATCTTGGCCCGTTCTATGCCATGAATATTTCATTATCATTATCACGTTTCCACAGCCATTCTCCAAAACTATCAAATAGCTGATCCATGGTGAGATATGAAGCTAGGTTTACTTTGGTCTCTGTGTTTACCGTTGTCATGGCAGTGGCGTTTTTGAGATGCTTCCTGTTGGCTTAATGGTGGTTGGGGTGTTGGTTCATACTATAGATGCATCCAGTTGTTATCGTTCATGTCTTCATTAGGTCAAGCTTAGCTTCCGGGGATTAATTGTCAGTAATGGCTAGTGCTACTTGTATCAGGGCTGTGCCCTTTAGAGGGCCGAGTTAGAGAAGGTCAAAGAAGAAAACTTGAAATTAAAGGAAGAGATAGCGAAGATGAAGGAAGAAACGAGACAAGGAAAGCCCGTGTCTGACGAAAACTCAGGAGAATGGAAGGTTGTGAGGAGAGGGACGACCAAACTGATGGTAAAAAACCCCCCTCCCCCAAGGATACGACAACAACAGCTGAGTGTACCAACTCTTTCAGTCCTTTGATAGACGAATTGGACTTTAGTACAGTCAGGGACGGGGCTGACAAGGAAGGTACGAAAACCTTAATTGTTGGCGATTCCCAGGTACTGTACCTGGACAGAGCTTTTTGTGGTAAAAATAAAAATAGGATGAGGGTTTGTTTACCAGGAGCTGGGGTGGGGGATATAGTTGACAGGGTGGACAATATCTTGTCTGGTAATGGGAACAAACCCATTATCTGCCTCAGTGCAGGAGGCAATGATATTGGCCGGTGTAGGAGTGAGGAGCTTTGGTAAGTTCAAGACAGCTATAGAACGTATTAGATCGAAGGAGATCCCTATCATATGTGGTGTCCTGCCTAGAAGGAGAGTTGGCAATGAATGGTTGTCAAGGGCAGTTGGTGTCAACGGCCGTCTTGACAGATATTGCAAGTCAATATTAGTCTCATTCATTGACAACTGGGACAACTTTTACGGCAGAAGGGACCTTTATGCTAGGGATGGGGTGCATCTGTCTGGGATGGGGTGGCAACCCTAGCTGGCTCTCTCGAGAGGGCAGTTCAAAAGATGTCGTAGTCTTTAAACTGCTTGGGAAACATATGAGCACTGGGATGAAGGAGACTGTAGGGCGTTGGTATGTACCGGAAAAATCGATATAATAGCATTCACCGAAACATGGATCAACCTAGACTCACGTGAGTTATCTGTCGAATACCAAATTGCAGGTTTCAAATTATTCCATACCGATAGGCAGATTAGGAAAGGAGGCGGAGTAGCAATCTATGTCAGGGATAATCTGAAGTGTGAAATAAATAAGGCAATAAAAACTGAGCGGAATACAGAAACAATTTGGATAGAATTAATCGATGATAGGGAAAAATTAATCACAGGAGTAATATATAGACCTTTAATCTTGATAGCGTTAATGAGCGACTTATTTGGGATGAAATTCGCAGGGCTTCCATACATAGCAAAGTCTGTATGGAAGGCGACTTTAACTTTAGCCAAATAGATTGGATTGACCTTATGAGTAACACAGAATCAGAGGATTTTCTTGAAACAATCCAGGACTGTTTCCTAAGCCAACATGTAACCGAACCCACCCGGGGTAATAATGGCTTCACAAGCGGGCGTTCATGTCTAACTAATCTATTAACATTCTTTTCATCTGTTTTCGAATCAGTGGACGAGGGGCAATATGATGTGGTATATCTCGACTTCAGCAAAGCCTTCGACAGAGTCCCCCATGAAAGACTAATAAGTAATGATAAGTAGGAATGTTAAGCCAAGTAAACAATGTGTATTTGCTCGAAACAAGGCTAATAAAGTACTTGGGTTCATACAAAGGAGTGTTAGTTACAAGACTAGCGAGGTGTTCCTAAAACTATATCTTGTGCTTGTGAGACCTCACTTGGATTACGCAGTTCAATTTTGGTCACCGACATAGAATGGATATAGAATCCTTGGAAAGAAATCAGAGGAGAATGACAAGACTAATCCCGGGCATTAGGAACCTTGAGTACAGAGACAGGTTAAAGTATCTTAATTTGCACTCTCGAGAGACGTAGAGTGAGGGCGATATGATAGAGGTGTATAAATGGAAGTCAGGGCTAAACAAAGGGGACATTACAAAGGTACTCCAAATATCCAACCAGGAGTGAACGTGTAACAATGGTTTTAAATTAGACAAATTTAGATTTAGGCGCGAAATAGGTAAACACTGGTTTGGAAATAGAGTAGTGGACGAGTGGAACAAGTTACCAAATATCATCATTAACTCGAATACGCTGGATAGCTTCAAACATAGGTTAGATGGATATATGAGCGATAGGGATTGGGTGTAAACGGGACTGCCCAGTATGAGCCAATAGGCCCGCTGCAGTTTCTTCCATTCTTATGTTCTTATGTTGTTGTGGTGTTTCCCGGTCGTCTGGTACGGTGTGTGTGGGTGGGGGAGCAAAACTTAGCTTTGTTTAATCACAAGTTGTACGTAAGTGGATTGCAATCAGGTCCCGAGATAATTCCACTCCGATATTCGCTTCTCTGGTACACATTCACTGGAGTGCATCTTTATAAAGCCTCTTCACATGACTAGTTTAAACCGTTTTGTAAGTATTGACAGGAATATATACATCGGCTCACTGGTTGTCAATATGAACCAACATATCTCAAGGCCACTGTTCGATTCTCTTTTGTGTAGATTTTTTTACTATTACAGGTGTTGCTAGGACGACCCCTTGAGCCAGGCTGTGAGTGGTTGGAGAGCTTGACGTTAGGATTCAACGTTGATATCTGCCGTTCGCGTTATGAAAGTCAAGCCTTACCTAACCTAACCTAACCTAACCTCATCCCCCCAAATAGTCTTAGGGTGGTTAAGCTTTAGTGGAAGTAAGCTGGGGTGGAGATTCTTCAGGTGATCCGACTTACCTTTTGATACTAATAAAATCTCCTTCAGGCACCTAACGGGGAACACCATCCTGACGCTGGACTCGTGGGCGCTCTACGGTCTCTCTTCCCTCTCAACACTGTAAGGTCATCCTCCAGTCTTTAAGATCACCCTCCAGCCTATAAAGTCACCCACCAGTCTATAAGGTCACTCTCAAGTCTGTAAGGTCAGCCCCATGTATAATAAGGTCACCCTCCAGTCTTTAAGGTCACTCAAGTCTGTAAGGTCATCCCCATGTATATAAAGTCACTCTCTAGTCGCTGGTGACAGGTCTCTGAAATTTACAACTTTCATCACCCTGAACTTGTTAGGTTAGAGGCTGTAGAACAAAGCGATACACTGGAGGGAGTGTTACCTATCTCCCAGGATTATGGCCACTCACTCTGTTGTGTTGACGATACTCACAAGTTTTATACCCAGCACGTCATCACTATAGAGAACGGTCGCCAGTACAGGTCAGTTCCAAGTCTAATTGAGGCCAAGCTGACAAATCCTGACCAGTAGGTATGAGTTCCATTTAGGTTGGTGCCCTTTAGGATTGAGACGGTAGCCTATAAGCCGTATAAGGAATGGAATCCACCGCCACACTTCAACAATATCCAGAGACGCCATAACAAACAAATAATATATTCAAAGGTGTTTCAGGTCTTCTTATGTACACACACACACACACACCAGGGAGCAGAACTACATTTTAGGTACAGGTACTTGGATGGAAACGTTTGATATATTGTTGACCCAACTTGTTTTCCTGTACAGGCTTACAGAGGTTTTCTTGGAAATACTCATAAAACCTGGTGAAATATACCCAAAATTCTTTAAGGTCAAAAGTATGATAGAGAGGGCTCAGGTAACTCACTCTATCCCTCCTTCATGTCTGAAACACGCTCAATACTACAGGACGGATTCTTGCTTCACATACAGCACAGTACTCTTTATTTTATTTTTTATTTATTTTTTTTTTTTAACGACTACCCCATCAGGGCTCGGGGGCGAAAATATAATAATAATAAAAATTAATAACAGTAAAAATTAATAAAAATTATTTTTAAAAACTTAGAATAAAGATTAAATTAAAATATATTATAATAGTAATATTAAATAATAATAAAAATCAGTAGTGAGAAACGATGTATGTATGTTGTGCTGTCAAAGTAAGAGAAACAATTGAGACCCTGCAATTGTGTGTAAATGAGACATGAAGTCTGATTAGCAACCTGTATGTTGAGATTAAAAGTCCCCAGACAAGCCCCTAGGAAAAGCAATAAAAAAAAATTGAAATAATTATTAATTTTTTACAGTTTATGAACACTTCTCTAACCTAACCTAACCTACTCTTCGGGAATTCTGTTATAGTTATAACTCTTTCAGTTTGGATATAGAACATTATTAAATGCATAGAAAAGAAAAAATACGACATATTTTACCTTCATGTTCATTCTGTATTTACTGAGGTAGGACCCAGGTCTGGTAGTCACTCAATGTCAGGAGTAATTACCCCAGTAGACAAAACATACGTCATTGCAGATCAATAAACATTCCTTGTATACTTTTATAAACTATAACAGAATTCCCAGGTTAGGTTAGAGAAGTGTTCATAAACTAAAAATAATTATTTTAATTTTTAAATATTTCTCCTGGGGGCTTTGTCCAGGGGTTTGTCCTAGGGGCTTTTGTCCTACGGGCCTGGTCCTAGGGGCTTTTAGGGGCTTTTGTCCAAGGGCTTTGTCCTAGGGGGTTTCCTGGGGCTTTGTCCTAGGGGCTTTTTGTCCAGGGGCTTTTGTCCTGGGGGCTTTTGTCCCAGGGGCTTTGTCCTTGGGGGGCTTTGTCCTAGGGGCTTTTGTCCTGGGGGCTTTGCCTAGGGCTGTCCCAAGGGCTTGTCCGAGGGACTTTTGTCCTAGGGGCTTTTGTCCTAGGCTTTTGTCCTTGGGGCTTTTGTCCTTGGGGGCTTTGTCCTAGGGCTTTTGTCCTGGGGGGCTTTTGTCCTAGGGGCTTTTTTCCTAGGGCTGTCCGAGGACTTTTTTCACACTCGTCATGTATAGATGTTGAGTTCACTTGGTTTCAAATTGAATCTGGTTTCTCATAATTATAATATTATGACTACAGTACACCCAAATATTTCATTATTATTTTTTAATATTAGGACGCTTTGTGGATATAACTTTTCGTAGGATTATACATAGTAAATAGTACATTAGCTTTTAACATATATTTTATTACTGCCAATGAATATTTTAAAATTAATCGTCAAACATATCTTAATCAAGTGAAACATTTTTTTTAATTTTGTAATTTGGACTGAGGTGTGTGTTCACCTGTTAAATGTTTCCTTCAGAGACCTGAGCCATCAAGGTATGAGGAATGTGTCTCATCACGCCTTCATGGGCCTACGGTCTTTACTGAACCTGTAAGTACCATTATTTATTTGGTGTTTTGAAAGATTTAACTTCAATACAGTACTTTATTAATTTACAAAAAATCGTAGTAGATTTATCGATGTAGTGTTACGACTTTGACACACACACACACACACACACACACACACACACACACACACACACACACTCCACCACACACACACACACACACACACACACACACACACACACACACACACTCACTCTCCTTTCTATATCTCTCCCTCATAATGAAGTGTCTCTCTTAGGAACGTCTCCAACAACCGTCTGGATCATCTCTCTGGAGGAGCCTTCAGCGGCTCCACTAAACTCCTGTCCCTGTAAGTACCCAACCTTGATGCTCACTTGTTCTAAAGACTTGCTGTAATTACTTCGTCTATACAGTCTGCATTTAATTACACATACTCACATACTAAATACACTCACTTATATACTGTAAACACACACACACACACACACACAAACATACACAGACACTCACTTATATAAACATACACACACACTCACACACATAAACACACACACACACATAAAAGTACACATAAACACACACTTACATATAGGTACACATACACACTCACACACTTACATAAACACACACACATACATAAAAGTGCAAAAGAGGGCATGCAAGATTATTCTCTCCCCTTCCTACTCCACATATCAAGAAGCGCTCAACACACTGACCTGACTCTCACTGACCATCACCACGGCCTCATCTGCAATTTGGTAAGGCTTCTACACCATCCCGACACGCCCTACTACCACCTGAGATCCCTGTCCGAGATTGCTGTTCGACAAACCATCCGCCCATACGCACGAACTGATCGCTATAAAAGCCCAGTCCAACCATTAAAAATTATCAATAACATGTAATAAATCAGTGTATTCACTCCCAGTAAACACTGCTCCCTACACTGTCACTATGTTGAAATGAACTGTAGTTTGAGCTGATCCCCATCTAAGTTTATATGTCTTATTTGTGTCACTTATGTCACTGTATATTATTTGTAATTCGTAACCCATTCCCCAAATAGAACTGTATATTTCAGCCTTCTACGTAAGCTCTTTTAATCCGTAATTATTATTATTATTATTATTAAACATACACACACTTAATCACTTACACACACACACACACACAGTTTGAGCTACAAATTACGTCCAATATGTTAACATCCAAAGCTTCTCCCTCCACACGTCATTATAGAAACAGTATTAATTACCTTATCACCTTTGAACGTTGATTACATTTTAGAGAGTCAAATACTTTTATAATGACTTGTAAATATAAAGCCTTTGAATTTTGTTGTATTTTACCAGTCTGTCGTTTGTGTATGAGACCAGGGAAGGTTAATGATGGAGGGATGGTATTAATTAGTCTGTCATTTGTGTCAATGAGACCCAGGGGAAGGGGGTTAATGATGGAGAGATGGTATTAATTAGTCTGTCATTTGTGTCAATGAGACCCAGGGGGAAGGGGTAATGATGGAGGGATGGTATTAATTAGTGTGTCATTTGTGTGTTATCTGTAGGTCATTAGTGTCTACAGGTCTTCGTGTCTACAGGCCATTACCATGTCATCTATAGGTCATTAGTATATACAGGTCATTACTGTCTCATCTATTGGTCATTAGCGTGTCATCTACTGTCCATTAGTATCTACAGGTCATTGGTGTGTCATCTACAGGTTAATAGTATCTAAAGGTCATTAGTATGTCATCTACAGGTCATTAACAGGTGGTTCTATCCTCAGGGACCTGCGAGGGAACCAGCTGGCGGTCATGGCACACAGAATCTTTTCCGGGTTCCAGCCTCCACCATCTGTGAGTGTGACGGTACTGTGGTCCACCTGGGGAGATGGATGGATAGATAGATAGATGGAGTGTTAGGTTGATAGGTAGATAGATGGAGTGTTAGGTTGATAGGTAGATAGATGGAGTGTTAGGTTGATAGATAGATGGATGGAGTGTTAGGTTGATAGATAGATGGATGGAGTGTTAGGTTGATAGATAGATAGATGGAGTGTTAGTTGATGATGGATGGAGTGTTAGTTGATAGGATGGATGGAGTGTTAGTTGGATAGATAGATGGAGGTTAGGTTGATAGATAGATGGATGGAGTGTTGGTTGATAGATAGATGGATGGAGTGTTAGGTTGATAGATAGATAGATGGAGTGTTGGTTGATAGATAGATGGATGGAGGTTGGTATGATAGATGGATGGAGGTTAGGTTGATAGATAGATAGATGGAGTGTTAGGTTGATAGATAGATGGATGGAGTGTTAGGTTGATAGATAGATAGATGGAGTGTTAGGTTGATAGATAGAATAAAAGATAAATAGTGTTAGGGTGTTTATTCCTCTTCGTTAAATGGGACAGGGTGATGCAAATAAACATATTAGTATAGACAGGTAAAGAGACAGGGGTTGTTCGTTCCCTATCTGCAGGTGGACAGACGAGTTTCGTCTGCTGTCTGGCGCGGCAGGTGGAGGTGTGTCATCCTCCGGATTAATTTAGCTCCTGTGAAGACCTCATGACCAACGGCGTCCTGCGGGTGTGTGTGTGGGTACTCGCTTCTTTAGCTCTGACGGGTAACATCCTGGTCATCGTCTGGAGGTTTATGAGAATGATAACAAGGTGAGTATGAGGAGGGGTGTAGGTGAGAGTAGACGAGTGAGGGGGAGTGTAGGTGAGAGTAGACGAGTGAGGGGAGTGTGTGGAGAGAGTAGACGAGTGAGGGGGAGGTAGGTGAGAGAGTAGACGAGTGAGGGGGAGTGTAGGTGAGAGTAGACGAGTGAGGGGGTGTAGGTGAGAGACGAGTGAGGGGGTGTAGGTGAGAGTAGACGAGTGAGGGGGAGGTAGGTGAGAGAGACAGGGGGGGTGGTGGAGAGACGAGTTAGGGGGGAGGTAGGTGAGAGTAGACGAGTGAGGGGGAGTGTAGGTGAGAGTAGACGAGTGAGGGGAGGTAGGTGAGAGTAGACGAGTGAGGGGAGTGTAGGTGAGAGAGACGAGTGAGGGGGAGGTAGGTGAGAGTAGACGAGGAGGGGGGAGGTAGGTGAGAGTAGACGAGTGAGGGGAGGTAGTGGTGAGAGTAGACGAGGAGGGGAGTGTAGGTGAGAGTAGACGAGTGAGGGGAGGTAGGTGAGAGAGACGAGTGAGGGGGGGTGGGAGGTAGACGAGGGGGGGGTGGTGAGAGAGACGAGTGAGGGGGGGTGGTGGGGAGAGACGAGTGAGGGGGGTAGGTGAGAGTAGACGAGTGAGGGGAGGTAGGTGGGAGAGTGGGGGGGGGGTGGAGAGTAGACGAGTGAGGGGAGTGTAGGTGAGAGTAGACGAGGTGAGGGGGAGTGTAGGGGTGAGAGGGAGACGAGTGAGGGGGAGGTAGGTGAGAGAGTAGACGAGTGAGGGGGGGAGGTAGGTGAGGGAGAGACGAGTGAGGGGAGTGTAGGTGAGAGAGACAGTGGAGGGGGAGGGAGGGTGAGAGAGACGAGTGAGGGGGGGTGGGTGAGAGTAGACAGAGGGGGAGTGGGTGGAGAGGGACAGTGAGGGGGAGTGGGGGAGTAGACGAGTGAGGGGGAGTGTAGGTGAGAGAGAATGAGTGAGGGGGGAGGTAGGTGAGAGGTAGACGAGAGGGGGAGTGTGGGGTGAGAGAGACGAGTGAGGGAGGTAGGTGAGGAGAGACGAGTGAGGGGGTGGTGGTGAGAGACGAGTGAGGGAGTGTAGGTGAGAGTAGACGAGTGAGGGGAGTGTAGGTGAGAGAGACGAGTGAGGGGAGGTAGGTGAGAGTAGACGAGTGGGGAGGGGAGGGGAGAGTAGACGAGTGAGGGGGGAGTGTAGGTGAGAGAGACGAGTGAGGGGGATGTGGGAGTAGAGAGTGAGGGGGAGGTGGGAGTAGAAGGGGGGGGGGTAGGTGAGAGACGAGTGAGGGGGAGTGTAGGTGAGAGTAGACGAGTGAGGGGAGGTGGGTGAGAGAGACAGGAGGGGGGAGGGGAGGGACAGGGAGGGGGGTGTAGGTGAGAGACAGTGAGGGGTGGGGTGGAGAGAGACGAGGGGGGAGGTGGTGGTAGGTGAGGGGTGGGTGGGTGAGGGGGTGTGGAGAGACGGTTGGGGAGGTAGGTGAGAGTAGACGAGTGAGGGGAGTGTGGGTGAGAGGAGTAGACGAGTGAGGGGGGAGTGTAGGTGAGGAGTAGACGAGTGAGGGGGAGGTAGGTGGGGAGTAGACGAGTGGAGGGGGGAGTGTGGGAGAGTAGACGAGTGAGGGGGGTGGGTGAGGAGACGTGAGGGGGGTGTGGTGAGAGTGACGGGTGAGGGGTGTGTGTGTGGAGAGGACGAGGAGGGGAGTGTGGGTGAGAGTAGACGAGTGAGGGGGAGTGTAGGTGAGAGTAGACGAGTGAGGGGGGAGTGTAGGTGAGAGAGTAGACGAGTGAGGGGGAGTGTAGGTGAGAGGGTAGACTAGTGAGGGGGAGTGTAGGAAAGTGTCAGTGAAGGAGAATGTAAGAGTGCTGGGAAAGTGAGGAACAAGTGGGGAAGTAAGTGAGAACTATGATAAGACGTATGTAGTTAGATGAATTTGTATGCACTAAGGTTTCGGGGGATCAGGATGAACGCCCCCAAGTGTGAAACTCAACCTTCAATATTTCAGGTTCATTCCTTCTTGATAACCAACCTGGCACTGGGGGACCTGTGTATGGGGCTCTATCTGCTCATCATAGCTGCCGTAGATATTAACTACCGCGGCGTCTACTTCATCTACGACGCCTTCTGGAGGACTTCCTCTCTCTGCCAACTAGCTGGGTTCTTCTCTACCTTCTCCAGCGAGCTCTCCGTCTTCACTCTCACAGGTAGGAACTTGACCATCTTCGTCATACACCAGAATGAATGTATAAACTCTTTAGTTCTTCACCATCAAAGATGATCATATCCGTTGTTACTTCCCCTGTGTTTGTTATAACTGGCAGGAAACTCATCCACTGCAAAGTACTGAGTAGTTGGTTCATATTACTTACCCTAACTCTCCTAAAGACAGTGAGGTAACATCATATTCTCATAGTTAATGTTTGTTAAATCTATACAGCAACAAGATGTCATTAGATATTCCCATTTTTGGTTGAGTAACATACTGTAGGTTGTGAGGTAGCCTGGTGGGTGTGTCTCACTGTAAGCGTCAACAATGTGGGACTGGATTGGATTTTCTGTACTGTTCTTGTCGAGGTGCGTCACTGATACACCTCCCTGCCTGCTCTGGTACTGTTAGAGTCTGTACGTAGCCACCACACCCTCCACTTATCTGATTAACAAAATTAGTCATAACTACAGTACGCAGTCGCCAATCCACTATGCAATTATATGGTTCAAAATGTTCCTTTACCAGCAGTCATGACCCAGTCAATGATTACAAGCATCACTCAGCTACCAACACTAAACATTAATTCTTCCTTCGGCAGTAATCACACTGGAGAGGCTGGTGGTGATTGTGTTCCCCTTCCGCGTACTTCGGCTGAGCATGAGGCGGACCAAAGTGATCATGGGGGTCGTGTGGGCATGTGTCACCCTCCTCGCCGCCCTCCCCCTAATGGACACACACTACTTCAGGTGGGTCCTCTTCACTACTCCCTACAACTCTCCATCACACTATTAGTTTTTACTTGGGAGAAAAATAAATTACTCTTTATACTATTTAATTATAGTAATATATGATCTAATTAAAACTTCCAGCTGCAGATATTTCCTTTATATATATACACACTTAAAAACTAAAGGAACCACACCTTTAATAAGCTTTAAAATCTCTAGTCTTGAGTTAATAGGTTAAGGTATTGCCCTACAGTGGAACATTGATGATAATAGCACCAAGTTTCAAGGGTTACTGATGAAATAAGGATCGTTACAAGGATGTTATATTATGTCACAATTGGAGTTTAGTATTAACCTGAATGAGATATTGAGAGGAGTTAAAACAAAAGTGATGAAGAAGGGTGATAATTGATTAATAAGTATGAGGAGGGTGGAAATGTGAAGTGAGTTAACAATTGTTTGTAGGTGACTTTACCCAGTTGGGGGATTCACAGTTATTGAAAATGTTAGTGAATAGTGAGAGGTTAAGCTGTACCGTAGTAGGAAATATTAGCGAATGACTGTGACAGAGGTTAATGCTGTAGTGAGATTGGTATGGTACTCAGGTTGTCAAGGTACTCAAGGGCTAGGCATGGTACTCAAGGTTGGCATAGTACTCTATTGTTTTGTCCATGTACTGTAGTTACTGGATAGACACGCCATGAAGAGTAGTGTTGGTAAGTTTACGTAACATTTCCTTAATATTATGTCCTCCCTCAGGAACTTCTACGGGAGGTCAGGGGTGTGTCTGGCTCTACACATCACCCACGAGAAGCCCAGTGGGTGGCAGTACTCTGTGTTTGTCTTTCTGGGTGAGTGTGTGTGTGTGTGTGTGTGTGAAATACAGTACAAGTTAGTGGGAAAAAATGCATTTGTGTAATAATTAATGGAGGACATTACACCTTGGCTGCCTGGTGCTCTGTACATTTAATAAAGACTTTTTTTAATTGATTCTGAATTATACTAAAACACATCCGGCTGATTGTTGACATTCTCGTCTGTCATTTTACAAATTAATAAAGAAAATAGTCATCAGCCGTAATGCTTAGGGATTTAATTTTAACCACCTGCCTGTCTGAGTGATTGTTTGATTGTTGTGTATTACTTGAGAGGGGAGTCGGGGTTAAGGTGTAGATACTTTTAATTGTTATTCTTCCTGGACAGTGTTGAATCTGGCCTCGTTTTCTGTGATTGCTGGGTCGTATTGGGGGATGTACCGGGCAGCCCGTTCTTCCAGCGCCGCCGTCAGGAGCGATCTTCAGCGGCGGGAGTCCAGCATGGCTCGGAAGATGACCCTAATAGTGGTGACAGACGCCGCCTGCTGGTTACCCATCATCTTGCTAGGGGTTGTCTCTCTTGCAGGAGTCACCATACCCCCTCAGGTGGGTCTTAATACCTTCCAAGGGAAGGCCAAGATGTTTTTAATTAAAATGGTGTGATTACTTAAAAATCTGTAGATATGTGTTAGCTGTTCTCTCCTTTGTTAGTAGCCTACCATCCACCTCCACTCGTCCCCATCCGCGTATCCACAGCCTACTGTACATCCTTGTTGTACCCAGCCATCCTATAAAGGAAACTCAGGATATTCATGCCATCTCTACCCATACACCCGGTAGCTATGAACATGGTAGTTAATGAAATAATGATGGGTTTTTAAATAAAGTTGGTGTGGTTACATCACAACTAGACCTCAGAACCATCATTTTCTGTTAACATTGTCCAGCAGGAGTTACCTGCATATGGATTCTACTGTAACACTACAAGGAATTTGCCAACCATGTTCCCATCACTACCCAGCTGTTCATATAAAACTATTAAAGAATATGTTCACATTCACCACCACTCGCTCCTACTCACCATCTAGTGGATCACATGTTCACATGTTCCCTCATTCATTTTGTTCATGATGAGTTAGAAATTGTTGACGACCCTTGGCAGGTGTTTGCGTGGGTGGCGGTATTTGTGCTGCCACTCAACGCGGCCATCAACCCTCTCCTGTACACTGTGTCGACGGCGCCCTTCCTCAGCAAAGCCAGGGAACGAGCCCTTAACGTCCGCTCCTCCTTCAGGTGGTCAATGTCCCGCAGGGCCACCAACTCCTCCACCGGCACGGGTAAGATGTGCACCATCATATATACTGTACACCATCACCACTAAGACGCTGCCTCACTTATGTTTACTTTTACCTGCATACCCTACACATAACCCCACATATAAATGCTGAACCAGAATAGATCTTGGACAAGTTGAGTAGTCTCAGTTTTTCTTCATACTCTTGGGAGGTGTGGCCCATTTTGTCTTTAAGGCGATGGATAACCTATACAGTACTCAAGCGATCAATTGTCAGCCTTGATATCTATTGACCTTGTCTGATTCATATTTGTCTTCCCCATAAGCTTACCTAAACTATGTTCTCGGAAACTAAACATGTTACCTCTTCTAACTCTTGACGGAGGAACCCCACATTTTTGGCTAACCTGTGATCCCTTTCATCATGTGAATTCATCTAACAGTTAACTGCATTTATCTCTTGTATACAGTGGGTGACGACAGGACGACGATACTGGTGAAGCCCCTCGACACATTAATTCGGACACCTATCCTAATGTCACGTGATCTACAACACTGCCATACTATGCCATCGACCCAGAATGCGCTACATCTGGTGGCCTCACACGCCAACCATCTGAGTCTTAGCCGTGCCCACCATCCCTGGAGGTCTCAGTCCTTCCACGGCACTGCTGCCAACGTTGTAACCAAGTATGTCGTTTACAAGAGTTACATTATATAGGTTAGATTAGTTTTGTCTTTTTTCTCTGCATCGTGTGGTATTATTGTATTTATGTAGCAATATCTTTATCATTATCACACCCAGTACCTGTATCAATAAGATAAATAGATAATCCAGTGTTCTTTATTACTGGAACTGTACTTGTATACTTTCCCAGATAAAGTCCCAACTTGGAATATACAGTATAAAATTTTGCTGTTTGCAGTACCTTAAACTTTCACGACAATGGTGTTAATAATGTATGTTTTGCTCTCCTCAGGCGTCAGAGTAACGAGGAGTGGGTGGCGCCCCAGGGAGAGATCATCCCCCTGTGTGAGCTGACCAACCACACACAACCTCCACTCTCCAGACAACACTCTCGCAAGAAGTACACCAAGCACCACCACCACCAGCTCTATGACTAGTTCTCATCCATGTGGTCCAAATCAACCCTCATTCACCAGGGAGCAACGCTTGCATTATTACTTCGCCTGCCGTCACCGCCATCCATTAGAGTACCACTATTAAGTAAAAAATAAATAGGGTTCTGGTAATATTATTTTGTTTTAATAGTTTTTTTGTGTGTGGGGGGGGGTAGAAATTATACAAGTCTAAGTTAGATTAGAGGTTCGTATACTTTGTCTGTAAATGACCACCATGTATAACAAAATCTAATTTTTAAAAAAGAAGTTCCCTCATGTGGCATTGATCTGACGAACGTAATAAAAAAATTTTGTTTTCTCATTAAGTGTCGCAGGTCAGAACGCTGTCTGTTGGGTGCCCCGAAGCCTTGCTATTCATTTTTTTCATGGCCTTTTGATACTCACCCTTAGGTTTATCCACATTACTCAATATCATCATTAGTCAAACAACTATGGATCACTTTTATTTCTCAGGTCAATCTCTTTAATCATCTGAGGTCACCAACTTCACTGCCCTACTATGATCATTATCTCACACATACGTCACAGTCAGTCATTAGTTATCACCTCTCATGCCATGTTTGTGTTTTCTAGTTTTTAATAAATACATATCACAGGGAGAGTTCACACAAGTTTCATAGCTCAAATCTGTTCACTCAAAGATTCCACTTGCCCCAAAAATGTGTTATATAAAGCAAGATTATTGAACTGTTGGGTGAGTTATGATGCGGGTATGGACAATCACTTTATGGCAGGGAGTTTTACAGAGTGCCAGGATGGAGTTGAGAGGAGTTTTGCTTGACCCAAGTTTCTGCAGGATGGCATATTGACAGCAAGAGCCCTCCAAGATGCTCTCATAGATCTATTGTGGGTACGTTGTGGTAATACTGTTGAGTGACGAAGTACAGTATCTAGAGTACTATTGAGTGACGTAGTACAGTTTGTAGAGTACTATTGAGTGACGTAGTACAGTATTTAGAGTACTATTGAGTGGCGAAGTACAGTATCTAGAGTACTATTGAGTGACAAAGTACAGTATGTAGAGTACTATTGAGTGACGTAGTACAGTATTTAGAGTACTATTGAGTGGCGAAGTACAGTATCTAGAGTACTATTGAGTGACGAAGTACAGTATGTAGAGTACTATTGAGTGGCGAAGTACAGTATGTAGAGTACTATTGAGTGACGAAGTACAGTATGTAGAGTACTATTGAGTGGCGAAGTACAGGATCTAGAGTACTATTGAGTGGCGAAGTACAGTATCTAGAGTACTATTGAGTGACAAGTACAGCATCTAGAGTACTATTGAGTGACGAAGTACAGTATCTAGAGAACTATTGAGTGACGAAGTACAGTATCTAGGGTACTATTGAGTGACGAAGTACAGTATCTAGAGTACTATTGAGTGACGAAGTACAGTATCTAGAGTACTATTGAGTGACGAAGTACAGTATCTAGGGTGACGAAGCACAGTATCTAGGGTACTATTGAGTGACGAAGCACAGCATCTAGAGTACTATTGAGTGACGAAGTACAGTATCTAGAGTACTATTGAGTGACGAAGCACAGTATCTAGGTACTTGAGTGACAGTATCTAGAGTACTATTGAGTGACGAAGCACAGCATCAGAGTACTATTGAGTGACAGTATCTAGAGTACTATTGAGTGACAAGATCTAGAGTACTATTGAGTGACGAAGTACAGTATCTAGAGAACTATTGAGTGACGAAGTACAGTATCTAGGGTACTATTGAGTGACGAAGTACAGTATCTAGAGTACTATTGAGTGACGAAGTACAGTATCTAGAGTACTATTGAGTGACGAAGTACAGTATCTAGGGTACTATTGAGTGACGAAGTACAGTATCTAGAGTACTATTGAGTGACGAAGTACAGTATCTAGGGTACTATTGAGTGACGAAGTACAGCATCTAGAGTACTATTGAGTGACGAAGTACAGTATCTAGAGTACTATTGAGTGACGAAGTACAGTATCTAGAGTACTATTGAGTGACGAAGTACAGTATCTAGAGTACTATTGAGTGACGAAGTACAGTATCTAGGGTACTATTGAGTGAGGAGATGTCCCTGTCAATATACGGTGAGGGAATTTTCTGGTGAGGCCATTATTTGTTGATGGCCTCTGATGGCTTCTGAACGCTGACAGTGACAGTACACATGCCTCACATAAATGGTGCCTGTAATCGTATTCTGGTGAGGGAGTGATTGTAATTTAAAATATCTGAGTAAATTCGATTACTTACGTGGACAAACCTTTTAGGGAGAGAGAAAATGTAGTGTTAAATGAGTAATGACAATGTTATAATATATATTTATAACGTAACAGTTATGATATCGTTGGGTAGAGCTTAAAGTTTGACTAACACTAAGTCTCGTTGGTTGGGAGTTCTGTTATTTTTTGTGAGTTCTCTGAGCCCACATTATCCATCCACAAAGAACCTATTCATTTTTGTGGAATGATTTCAATGTTGGAGTTTTTATTTACAACAGAAATCACAATGCCAGTAAAATGTGAATTACCGGTATAGCTTACATGGTATTTGGCGAGATCCCTGGATTGTACTCGAGACTATTAACTGAGGGTCTGATTCATAAAACTCGGCACGATTAATTTACTTCTTGATCACAAATATATAGAAGCGCATATCAGTACACCTTAGTTACAAAATAAATACAAATATAAAAAAAAGTAAATATGAAAATAGCAGCTTGACACGTTCTCGTATTTCTAGTTAAACGGAAGAATATTAAAGTTTTGTTCTCATTACGATACGTTAGTCTCAGTGAAACTTGTTATCCATTTTAGGTGTTTATATTTTAACTGTGCCCACGAAGGATCAGTTAGAGACGTTCTTAAATATCCAGTTATAATTTATTTTAACTTACGAACTTTAGAAAATACAGATGAAGAATTATGGCTGCTTGGAGTTTGTTGTATTAATAGGTTAATATTCTTTAATGGTTGATGAATTTGAACAATATTAATTATGATTAGAGTAGTGTTTTATGTGTTGGAATATACCTTTATGTTGTACTGTATATTGATCGTGTATAAATTCATGCTTGCCTTTATGACTCATGCATTAAGGGCGTAAAAGCCTGAAGGGTCATGGGTTTTGTCAGCCAGTTACATAAAGTGACAGAATGATGAATGTGTGTGTGGGGGGGAAAATTCCCGGTACTATTTATCTGTTTATGGCAAAGCGTGGCAGGTCCCTAATAATGTCAAGTGCCAGGCCATAGCCATAGGCATTGACAATATTGAGGGACATACCTTTTAGTGTGATTGTGATGGCGTGTACGTCGGTAGTGTCGGCTTCAAGGGGGACGTCGAGAGGTTGGTAGGGGACGTCCTTCTTGGCGTAGATGCGTAGTCCACTGGCATGTCCTCATGGTGGTCAATTGATGTGGGGAACTGGAGTGGATGGGCCCCAGGTGCCGGCACGCTGGTGGAGGACGGGGAGCCGGGGGTGGTGTCCTCGGGTCCATGAGCAGGCGCGGCTTTCAGTGCGTGGTCGGGGGCAGCAGGGCACACCGGGGCAGGCTCGGTAGGTGTCACGGCAGCAGTGATGCCAGGCGGCGGTAGAGTAGGCCGTGAGCAAGAGGGGCACACAGGGGGGCTACCAGCTTGTGTCAAACCAGAAGAGAGGTGTGACTGGGTAGCAGCTGAAGGTAGGGGTAGTCTGTGTAGGTTGGAGATGGCGGTACAGAGTGTATCAAAGAGTCTTTCAATACGGTTGGTAAATTCGTGGAAGAGGGATATGATCTGTGTCGTGTCACCGGAGGGGGTTTGTTGGGGGGCTGTGTTGCAGCCAGGTGAGGCCAGGCAGGGGCAGGTGTTGTTGAAGAAGGCATTGCCAGAGGAGGGGAGCCAGAGGGATGCGGCCCGGTAGGCTGGGGGGGAGGTTGAGGTTGACGCAGTCTTCGGGGAGGCTTTTCTCTTGGGACAGGCGGACGATTGGGACATTGCCGTGAGTCAACATTGTGCCAGCCACCACAATTACAACACCTGGGGTCAACAACATAGCCCACACCACCCCTATTGAGGTGGTCTTTGATTTTCTGGGCAGAGACGGAGGAGTGATGGTTGCGTGAACAGATGCGACGTCTGGGACGATCACGTTGGCAGCAGGCGGTGAAGGTGTGACCCCAATGGGAGCAGATGACACAAAAAGCAGGCCCGGGTTGATATGGTTCTGCTTACAGTGGAGGGAGGACTGGGTGGGCCTTCACAGTGGTTGGGCACTCCCTTCCCTTCCATTTAACTATGACAGCTGCTTGTGGAGTCTTCCCTCGGTAAGTAGTGTCGATGTATACTGAGTATACGTGGATTAAAGTTAGGAGAATCTTCGACTTAAGCGTATAGGGGGAACTGTTTAACTAGGATGTGGCGACATTTCTCTGCAGCAGCAGGTGATGGCACGAGGACAACCCCGTCAAATCCAACAGTACTAAGTGTTTCATAGACCTCTGGTGTCTGACACTTGATAAAGTTACGGTTCTTACCTTTTCGGAATTGAATGGTAAGACCGTGTTGTCTCCAATACTTTGTTGTCCAATTAAACCGTTCCTTGACGGTTTTCAGTGAGTCCTTGGGGAAGTGCAGATTCAGCTTACTTGGTTGGTTGGTTGGCAGAGGGGCGGGTGGTGAGGGGAAGCTCGCTGCCTTTGGCATTGGTGTTGCCACTCCGGCAAGTGTTTACCATAGAAACATTACTGTTACTGTCACTATCACTGATGTCTGACTCTTGCAGGGTGTGGGACGCAGTATGACTATCCATATCAGAAATGTCTGTATCCATGAGAGAGGGGACGCCTCTAATGGGGCGTTTACGTCGACCCCGCCCCCTCATCGCTGGCAACACTTGCCGGCGAAGGGGTAGGTAGAGACTGAGGTGGCCTTTGTGTGACGATCGGGAAAACAGGAGCACCTATGGGCACGTCTGTCCCCTTACGTGGTCAGACCGTGACTGTTATGGGTACCAAGACGCCCACACCTACAGCACCTGTGGCTCCATGACCCCACACGGTACAGTAGGTCGCGTGGGGGTGAGGTCGTCTATTGTTTACAGTTGGAAGAATCACTCCACGTTG